GAGAGGTAAGGATGCGATTGTTGTGGAAAACGAAGTAAGGACTGCACTACTGGGCTAAGGCCTAGGCTACTCCAAGCAAAAGTCTGGGCCTGCACTCAAGGACCTATCAAAGGAGTAGGCTGATTCCTTCTAGAGCATTCACAGAGGAGCAACAAAATGTTAGTACCTCCTTTTCCATCTGTTGTCTATCCCGCATGCTTATCAGTTTGTTGTAGTCCCTCTACTTAGTACTCATCTGCCATCCGAAATAGCAGTTGAGCAGTCATCAACGATCCCGGACAGCCCTATTCCTCCCACATACACATAGCATACACCCACACCCACATACACATATATATACCGGAATATATAGAAATGCACCCATAGCTTATTATACTCACCTACCTATCTACCTTTAAGGTGTTTGATACCCACGGTAGTCGTCATTCATCGGTTTCTATGGCCTTCCTGTGTAGGCCTTCAACAAGTCTCGGGCAGATAATAAGAGTTATACACGCTCCGCTTTTTTTTTCCGGAATTTCACCGACTGCCGCTTTGTACAGCTAAGGAGAGCCTAAAGCTAACAAAGACTGACAAATCACCAGTATTGGTGGAGCAGGCAGTTAAACAGTAATCACCAACTTATAATTGACAAAATTCTCCCCTTGTAGAGAGGTCCTTTCAGTCTTTGCCATACTTTCTGCTCTTTTTTCCTCTGTTGTAATTTATATCTCCATCAATCATCACTGTTTGAAGTAATTAAAGAAAAATGATTTTATTTAGATAATTATCTGTTCGAATGAAAATATTCAATTTTGCATAATTCCGAGAAAAACAGGATGTCCTTCCTTTTTTTAACCAGAAAATGCCAATAAATCTCAGGCACTTCCGATCTGATTTTCAGTGATAAGAAAATGAAACATCTTCGCCAGTTTTATTTCAAGCTTACTGAAAAAGGTTTCCGCTCCTGTTAAAGAACTTGAAGCTAGAAGGCAAAATTTTAAATATTTCTTGGAAAGTATGAGATGCTCTCGGAAAGTATGAGACGTGACCCATATGTTTAGGGGGAAATACACGCATTTTGCCTGTATCCCATCATCATTTTTAGTAAGTATTAGATAGGAAGGATTCCATGAGATTTTTGTACTAAAAAATAGGACTATCCTTCCAGCCACTACTGCAAATGACTATTTCAAAACTATTCTAGCTGGTTCTGTTGCAGTAGTTATAGGCAAAATCAGGTACGACCGAATTGGATACATCCACCGTACAGCTCTAAAATTATTCTACCGAATTGTTTAGGAAGCTGTTTACTCGTAATTACCAATATACTTCACACACTTCGCATAATTAATTTATGTTTAAGCATGTTCCACTGAATCGACTATGTTACGAGAAACATTGACTTTTCCTAAGAGATGTTTCACATATCTTAAGTAATTCTTGATGCTGTCAAATAATTTTAACCAGTCACTGATGATTTTTTATTTGTTTAAGAAACTAATTAATGCAAAGAAGACCCAGGAATCATTAGTTGATAAGAAGCTCAAAATTCCTTTTTTGCTGGTTCTGATATTGCCATGTAAATATATTTTAAGAATTCTAAATTTTATTTCATTTTCTTACTGCGGAATAATCCGCAAACAATGATCGAAATAATATATGTTCAAGATTAATATGTAAACAAAAATTCCCGGAAGAGAAGGAAAATCGACATGGAATTTTAATATCACGGGCAAAATTATGGTAGTCCTGGTTTGGTAAATGATATGCGGCATCACTTCGATTTTTGAAGATGACATGAAAGAATACTAGGTAAGAATATTTTTAATTTTCTATATGATCCTACTATGACTACTCACAACACCTCTTTATATCTGATCATTCATGAGACATTCTCCATCTGTTGGCATTCTTTTTCAACTGTTATATTCCCGTGAAACTGATACATTTGCAAAGAAATCAATCACCGCTAGATATCCTCAGAAGTTAAGCATCTCTTTTATTGTAATTTTAACAAAAAATTTTCGACTTCTATCAAAGGTAATGTTTTATTAAAAGATTAGAAATAGTGTCATATCCATTTAGAACTATAATTTGCACAAGGCTTAGCTTTTGTTTCTTTATTTTATTCGCTTGAAAAGCAATCATTAAAACCACTTCTTTATCAGTTGTCTTTTACTTCGTGTTTATGATGATTCGAATTTTCCAATGAGTTGCTGTCATCTAAGCGATTGTTACGACGGTCTTGCATTAGTTTCACTCTGCGAGAATTACCGGCTCGCGACGCACGTTTCACTCGTTTTACTAAAAAGAAATATGTGATAAATAGACATACCTATCAATCAATTTTGATAATATGTTATTAAGGAAGATTGGAAAATACAGTTTTCAATGTTTTAAGGCATACAAATCAACCAATCTAACAAAGGAACAATTCATAAATTGTCTTAGTCCTAACATCTGTTACATATTAAAAACCAAGCGAGATGGGAACACTGCTTGAATTTTAAGGAAATTTGGTAATTATCTGAACTGACAATAACACATTTACCGGAATTTAATAACGCTCATTAGATAACATAGGAAACCATTTCTCTATGGTTGCATTCAGAAGTAGGCTAAGCCGTTCAAATCGACCAAATTTCCATAAAATTGAAAATTTGGATAAGGAGGACATTTGCATATTTAAAAACTTTAAACCTGGACTGAAACTTAAAATGACCATTTGTTTTAATGACAACATCGAAATCCTCATCAATGATTCCTTCTTCCGTCCAAACATGATCTTTTGGTGTTGAAGAGATACTGTGTAAGTAGTCGACTATATTTGTTCCTTCAGTAGAAGACCAATCTTCAGTTTTATCCTTAAATATTACATACTGTGTCATCTGCCAAAATAAAACGGTGCACTACTCATTGATTCTTAATAAATTTCACAAACTTCATAATTAGAAATTATGCGTTTATTATTTTCATTTGCTAATTCTAAGGATAGCTTCTAGCTGATTAATGTTCCTTGCTCATTTTTTTTTTACGTGGTTCATAAAGCAGAAGAACATTTATGTTTCATTTAATCATGCGAGACATTACGGTCCTAAATAACTCTTTTTCTTCCTATCAGGATATTATGTACCACACACATCATTCATATGCACTCTAAACGGTACGTGTCTTTGAAGCGTGATGCTACTAAACTAAGTGGTTCTAGAAGCTGGAGAGAAAATGCACAGTAGCATGAGATCGATCCTAATATTATCCTGTCATATAGTAATAGGCTACATATGAGGAAAGGTTCGTACAATTTCATCTTTTCCTCTCTTGGAAACGTTTTCGCCATTGCTTCCAATACCCTTTACATTGTTAATTATAATTTCAGTTATGGTGTTGTTGTCGTTCTGAAATTCATCGTTAATTAAATGTCCCTTCTCGTAATCACTATCTTTCCATTCAATTATTTTGTCTTTCTGAGCAAATAATATTTGTGGCATGAATTTATTCCTTTGACCTTCTCCCAAATCTCAGAAATTATTTATAGGTTTAAAAAGATGCTAAAAACAGTGTACGATTACGGGTAAATACAAAAAAATTTTTTAAATATTGTTGTATTCACAACAAAATTCTATAATTGTTTTTTTTTCAGAAAACCTGACATAAATATCGCTATCCTGGGAATTTTCATTTGTGAAATTTTCATCATCATCATCATTATCGCCATTATCTATCTCGTTATTCCACTTTTCTTCCTCTGTACCATTTCCTCTGTCTTCAACTGCTACTTAAATGATATGAGCAACTTATAAATCACATTTCGTACTTTTCTTTTCCGCATTGTAGAGATCAACTTGAAAAATTAGCTTACATCCTGAGTAGAGCGTGATTCGCCCTGCTTCGACAGCAAGGATCCATACAAGGATAATCGATAGAGACCGAATCATAGATCTGAGAGAAAGAAACAGATAGTTCAATGTTTTTTCAGAAAAGCTAATAAGATCAAAAAATGCACATCATACACACATACACACAAAAACACACAATACGAGCACGAACTTAATATCAGGTTGCATTATTTGCTCTTTATTTAAGATCTACAGACTTGACAAGCATAGGTATAAACAAATTTGCCCTTGTCCACTATTTTCGATGTCATTAAGATGCTAATACGCGCCAGGTAGATTTGCAGTGAAAATGAAGCTAAACAAAAGTTCATTTCAGCCTTTTACATTGAAATCTTACTTTTCACTTCGCGTCTAAGATAAATTGGAAAGAGAAGAATGTATTTGTGGAATTAGAGCAGAATATACAAAAAGTCAGTTGTAATGTGATAATTAAAACGAAATGGGCTTAATAACCTTAGTTTATAAACTCGAATATTTTAATGCAAAGAAAATAACTGATCAGTAACTCTGAGTACATAAAGAGAACGATAACAAGACACAAGTAATACACATAACTAAAATGATCTAGGCGTGAAAAACAAGCGATGCAAACTACATTATCTTTGTTGTCAAAACCGGATTTGTAATGCTTAAAGGAATTTCATCAGAACGATACTGTCAAAAATTATATAGTAAATAAATAACTGATCAGTAAGTAGCTCTGAGTACATAAACAGAGAACGACATAGAACGGTAGCAGGATACTTCCATAAGTGAGTACTTTTCAATATCCCATATCTAGATTCAAAACGACATATCCTGCTCATCCATACAGTACTATCAGTCCCTTTCACCTCATTAAAAATAAAAATGAAAAAAAAAAAACCTAGAGAAGGGGAAAATACGGTCAATCCAGTACAATCCAATTTAAAAAAAGTGTAAACTCAGAAATCAACCTTGGAAATCAACGTAATGAACTCTAAGCATTTGACACCTCATAGAATTCCAGCCAACTTTTTCAGCAATTTCCCTTCTGTTTTCATTCTGCAGCAGATTGATGCATACGTTAGATTAGTTTTTACTCGGACCAATTCCATACTAAGAATTGCCAAACACGTCACTCATTCCCCAACTTACTGATAACTGTTGCCGATAGTGGATCCAAACAATTCACATCAAAACTGCGCTAACCTGTCAAACAAATGAATTTGCTTGTCCATCATGCTTACTTTCCCTTCCTCCACTTCAAAAAAAAAGAAAATATTCATGCACCTTTGTCCATATTTCAGCATCTGCTGCAGTACCACCTAAACTTTCCAAATGAGGTTTTAGTGAGATCAAAAAAGAAGGTGAAGCAAGCTTTATTACAAAATAAATCAATTCATGGAAAATATGAACAAGAAAATTGACAAAATTCACAAAACAGCCTATTTCCATTCAAAAAGTGATAAAGTTTATTAATATCTCAAAAAGTACCAATATTCTTCAGATGTGTTAATATTTTTGCACTTTTCTATCAGTGGAAACAATTCTCAACAAACATGGATGTGCATTAAAAGGAAAAAAAATTAATTTATGCAAAAATCTTGTTGGATACAGCGCGTAAACAATATTTTTACTGATTTGTAGTAAAAATCCTATCAACTACAAAAGCATGCAATAGTACATGTCGCATTCATAATCCTTATTAGAAACCATATTTTCTTGCCGACGTTCGTTTGTTATGCCGATTCACAGACCACTGCTCCGCAAGCTGTTCTTCTCTGGCTACTGCCTGAAATATCATTTTCATTGCTCTGGTATCTTCAGTGTGTAATGATAAAATTAAATGAAAATCAATAGAATGGAAACAAAATATACCGTACAGGAAGTATGAGGAAGGCAAAGCACTTACAACACTGGCAAGATACGTAATCTGATGTTTTCTTCGTGCCACCATGCTAACAGTTTCTTTGCTTTTCGGTACGTTAGCAAGATGCGATAAAGTTGCTTCAGCAAGCGATTTGTTATGAAGGTTTTTGAGAAGCGTCGCACGAACATTTGGACCCAAAACCTTGAACAACTCATATCCAAGATATTGAAAAAACTGTACAATCACAAAGCTCGATGTCTTCCATTATGAGAAACTTGCACATTAAAAATTAAATAGAGACGACTTAAAGAAAAAATGCTCACCTTATCAACACTAACATCGACCATATTTTCTACGGCTTCAGCAGCGTTCGAAACTGAGCCACCCAAATGTGCAACATCACGTGAATAAATCATGCATAAAGCTTGCTAAGAAAAGTTGCAATCTGAGGTCTTATGATACTGACAGAAGTATTAAACACAGCATCTGCATTTGCAGAATTTTGTAAACATAGCTCTATTCTCATTACTAGCACAAAAGGTAGTTTCCTCTATAGATATTTTTTTGAGTATAACAAATATAAGCACGATCAAACAAACCGACCGCAGAAACTTACACTGTCATCAATAGCACCGGATAAGGTAGTGGAGGCAGATGTATCACAACACACAGCGGTAACTTCTGGATGAGAAACGAAAGCAGATATATTATTTTCAACTTTCACATCATCTGTTAGTTCGATCTATAACTCAAAGATTCTACAAACAATAAGATAACATATATTATCATTAATTAATTTCAAAACCGACTGCAAAATCTGAACATTCTAATTCTACTTAACATTGTACAAGAAAGGTCATAAAACGTGCTACAAAACCTAAAACAAAAATGGAAGGGAAGAAAATGGTGAAAAAAAAAGTTATCATGATTATAAAATTTCCGCGTGACCATTAAAAATACCTTCCATGTTTCCTAAACTTTCCGAATGAACCGGTATTGTTTAAAGTTAGGTGGATTTCATAAGAAATGTCAGATAAGAGTGGGAATGATGCAATAAAATTAGGGTTTAAGGATGTTAAATTGTCAGACAGTGAATTTCTGAACCAGTTTCGGTCAACTCCGATCGAAAAATTTGATGACTAAAAATTTGATGACTAATATACTTTCATAACAACAGAACTAATCCTGACTTACGAGTTAAAATTAAATGGAAAATTCCTGAGGTCACTTTAGAAAAAGTCAGCATTCATGAATTATAGCATATACAGTAAATTGTATTCGCCTATAAACCTTCATCGCGTAAATACTACGAACTAATGATGCAGCTTGATGTGGTATCGAAGAATCACGAACAACTACAGACAAAAAGTTTTAAAATCCATATATATTCACCGAGACCAACATATACGAAAAAACGAAATCCAAATTAAACCAAACCTGTTCAAGTTTTATGTCACGCGAAGCGTCTGAAACAGATATAATATCCGATACCATAGGAGGATCATCAATTGCTTTGAGACCAAAGAAATCTGTTGAATCATCTTCATCAGATGCATCATATTTTTCTCCAGCAAATTTTGTTTCCATCGAAATTTCTCTAGCAGTAAGAACCTGTAAAACAACCGGCGTCAGATGACAAACATAAGATCAAAAACAGGCCCATAAGATGCAGATAAAACAATCTGCAATATTGAACGAATGTAGTGAACGTAGAAGATCTGCTAACTTTAGGCATTTCAACATTTTCTGTAGAATGTGTACTGTTGCACATAAAAAGATTTGAGTTTTTCGAAATCCCCGTAGCATTTTTAGGTTCTGGTAAGACTGTAAGGAGACTAGCTGATGCAGAAGCTACCATCGAATGACCCAACTGCTGAAAAGTTAAAATGATAACTGCAGTGCACAACGCAAAAATCACAGCTACACAGTGCTTACTAATAAAGGAATTTGTCCACCATAAGACAACCGGATGTCCTACCATGGAAGGGGAAAAGTTATATAATATTGAAGAGAAAAAGAGAAACTGGAAGCATTTCGAGGAAATGTAACACAGCTTGCTTGCAAAAACCAAACAAAATCTAAACAATCGGGAAGTTAGCCGGTGGATTAAAATGAATTAGAGAGAATAGTTCGATGAAAATGTACATGACCATCATACTGCCATCAGACAGTACTCCCTCAAAACATATTATAATTAATTTATTAAAATGCCTAAAAAATTTCCAGTCCTGTTACAGCTTCCCGAAGTTCCAAAGGTAACTTGAAACATAAAATCACCTGAACCTCCCATTCAACATCACCGGTAAGTCAAGCAAAAAATGTTTTTCAACATGCATAATTTACCTTATCAGACTCGCCTTGATTTCCATCAGCAACTAAGCCTTTTAATCCACTAAAAGCTTGTATAACGACCATTTTCTTTCCATCGCTTCTATTATCTGCGAGATCCTTACTTCAAATAAGCAAAGAATTAGTGTGTGGCAAGTGTAGTATTCGTTCTCTTTTTTTTAAACTAAAAGAACTCTAAATGAAGTGATCCTGAGAGTCGGAAAGTTCACATTAAAGTGAGATTCTGAAAAGCACAAATTAGGTTTAAATCATCTTAGTGATACATAAGTCGTGAAACAGTTTAGAGAGATGCACCTTGAGTGATGGTTTTCGAACTACTATTTGTAACATGCGTGCAATGGCGCTTGCGTTTCCTTTTAGCTTTCCTTGCTAACTTCAGTTCCCAGTCTTTTCGTTTTACCAAATCGTCTAACTCTTCTTCCTGTTGTACACGCTTATTCGCCAAAGGTATCGAGGGTGGTAAATTTGTCAATATTGACGATCCTTCTTCCGAAGATATAAACAACAAGTTAAACTGGTAGCCAATAATACGAAATAAAACTGCATGCCTTATGAAAAAACACTGCTATTTTTAGGGAAAATTTCCCAATTATTGAAAGACAAAAGCGTGAGGAGTACCATTCGGGATCAAAAGTAACAAAACCAAGCTAACAGTATTAAAAAGCTCTGAAACATCACATTCTTAACATAAATGCTTTGCTAATGAAAAAAGCTAAAATAATGCCATCGATAAACACTACCGGCATTTGTAATACCATCACATTCCTCAACCACAGCATCATCTTCTTGCCTCTGGAAGCCATCTATCGTTCTTTCGCCTCTGTTTGGGGGTATTAGACGTTTCACAGGATTTGAAACTACTTCCGCATATATACGGTCCCCATCTGGCAATTCATCAATGTCTTCGTCATCGCTCCCAGCATAATCAACTAAACTCAACATCTTCCTGCAATTTATCCAACTTATCTGTCTTCCAATACCAAAACAAATACAGTCCTACACATCAATTTATCGCAGAAACGTCATTCCTCATTTCTCTAGAAGTCAGAAAGTGCGGGTATTCAGAGATAAGACATGTAATTCTTAAATATTGTTATCTGTCCGTGAAGCTGAACTACCGCGCTAGCTTACGCCAATAAAAGCACAACAACCCTCCACACTCTCCCAAACACAGCCACACACAAGCTTGCATCTTACACGCATACGTAGACAATGACGCTTCACGTGTCATCCGAACTGTGTGGGCCATTATGAAAACGTGGTCCCACTGTTGATGGCATTTTTTTGTTTTATCAATGACGATCGATTAGGTATGGTGGTTCAGGATGAGTGAATTCGGGAAGGAAGCAAGGACGCTTCAAGTTTATGGAATGTAGTAAAAAAGTGGAGGATTCGGTGGGAAAAAGTGGTGCTATCGTTTGAATAGCTAAATTTGTGGAGGGATAGCAGGTAGAGAAGAGGATGATGATACTGATAAAGCAAAAGATCTATCATGAACGATAAGCGCGTGTCCAAGACACTCCTTTATTGTTGGATAATGGAATATGGACGACAATTGTTGCAAAAAAATCGAAACACAATTTTCCTCAATATTATAGTAGAATTAAGTTAAGCTTAGTCCTGCCGATCAAACCATTATCATAAGTCGCAATGTGCTAGTGTTGCGTGGATAATATGCTAGTGTCGCAATGTGCTAGTGTTGCGTGGATAATATGCTAGTGTCGCAATGTGCTAGTGTTGCGTGGATAATATGCTAGTGTCGCAATGTGCTAGTGTTGCGTGGATAATACTTGCCGTTAAAACTATTAAATCCCAACTGCTCAATTTTAACGACATATTTTTTGCAAACAAAGAAAGGAGAAAGCTCTATTCTGCAAGCTTTTATTACGGATATGAACCTTACGGTGAAATGCCATTCCTACTCATAAAAGCACATTTATTTCTACGGAAGGAATTCATGTAGTAGAAAGGTCAGAATATGAAAAGCATAAGAATCAGTGTTGCGATGTTCCACTGTAATGTGATCTCTTGGTTCTGGAAATAATAGATTCGATTCATTTTTACATGTTTTATTATGACCTTTCAATTTATGCTTGACCAATTGCTTAGACCTTCAAGTCTTTTCCAAGTTTAACCAGGGTTACTCGATATTCGGTTAAGTAATTCTTTTTCAATACAGCATTATTTCTCCAACAACAGATCGAAATTAGGAGAAACTATTGTGGTGCTTGTACCAAAGTGAATACGAATTATCTGGAAAGGAGTGTAAGCAATGAGGTCTACTTAGCATTATAGGCCATGCTTGCCAAAATTTTAGCAATAAGGAAAGAAACACTTTGTAGCAGTAAGCGGACAGTCATATGAGCGTAATTGTCTGCTTTACACTTTAAGCACATTATTGATGAACTTTACGGCTTGTTACTACTGATTGTGGTAAAGACCAAATTTCACACAAAAGTAGATAGCATATAGACAGTAATTAGTCGAGTTTAGGATGCAATCGCTTTGATTCACTTTTTTTACCGATTTCTTTGCTTACAAATCCTGATCTGACACACTGTGTTTAGACAGTAGAACTGACTAGTATGGAAGTACAGCGCGATATATTCCCAAGAGAACAAGAAAATACTCATTCCCGTTATCTTTTCGTTTTACTTGAAACTTTCAAAATTTATAAATTTCAGAATTCCAAGTTCTGACGTGTTTATTTTTATGACAAATGTAATATCTATGCGAAAGCAATTCGCCAATTTCTCGCTCGTTTCTGCTCATCTTCTGAATCATCATATTCAAATAATTTTTGGTTTTGTCGATAAAACACTCGTGAATCACGAGCAAAACCACATCGCACTTCGAATGTTATAGTTGTATTGAGGCAATCGCCTGAACGCCAAAGATACCTAAAATATAAAGCTAGTAATTTTCTCTCAAATGGGTAATGAAGATTGTACAAAGAAAAGAAAAAAAAAACATATTTTTTAATGGAAGCACACAACGATATTCCTTCAATAAAAAAATAACAATGAATAACCAACCAATCCTCACGGAACCTTTCGAGCATGTAATTGTAGTAAATGTTACAAGCGTGATTCCACGTGGGTACTTTTGCTAGCACAGTTGTGTCGTCTGATTCTTCGCACATTATGCGGCAATAAATTTTCGTTTCATTCCTTATCTTATAAATTTTTAACCATTTGTTGTATCTTTTAATATATAAATTATTAATTGTTGTGGAGGGCAGAATAAATTAAGTGAGATCATTTTGAAGGAGATGTTGTTATGTGGCGTAAAGAAAATCTAAAGTTCACCGCTTCATTACTATTACCCCTATTTATTGATGCTTGCCGTGAAGTTTTCTGCAAGTCAACCCGCTTATCAAAATATTTAGCTGATAAGAATCTTTTCGTTCTTTTGATGTCCGTATGGCTGGAGTTATAAGGGTTGTCCAGCTATTCAATTCAATATTTCTTTATGCTGGAAGCCAGAAATAACTCGCTATATGTTTTCAAAGGCCTGCTTTTTTGACAAATCAAGTATTAAAATCCAGTTTCATAAAAATTGCTAACCTCATGAACTTCTTCATAACATAAAGGGTTCAGTTCAGTTTTTGATTCTGGATTATGTAAGGCACAGCGTGACACTCGATGACCTGCTATGGATTCACATTCCAGTTTCCGAGTTGCTAAAATTCAATCACAATAACTATTCTGTATAATCTGTAGTTGGAATCTCAATAAACTTTGATAACATAATTCCTCTGCTTCACAAAAATTTCGTCAGTGAATAGCTAGAAATAAATGGATATTAATAAGCGTTCCTATCAAGTAGTGTTTGGCTGTGTTAGTTCATAACGCTCAAGTGTTTTTGAAGGGAGAGGACAGAATAATTAAATCATTTTCTAATCGATCACCTTATTTCATTTTTTGCTTACAACTGATTTAGCTTCCAGGTAAGTGCAATTCTGAAAAAAGCGTCTCTCGGTGATGCAATTTATTCAGGAACTACATATGGAAGTTAAGAAGAGATTTTTTTGCTAGTAGAAGTGAAAACGAGTAATGAGCAATTTTTATATACGTAGGAATTACCTTCTAGAAGTAAAGATTATAAATCATCCGCACAAAAATCTAAGGATGGTTAAGCAGAGTACTTTCAATTACTGATTGTGAAGATATTGACTATGATTACAAACTTACTCCAATAATACGGTTTCTTTGGAACAGCTTCAGAAATGCCGAGAATTGCGGCACTTATAATAACTGCCACTTGAAGAGTAATGTCCATCTTATGTCACTGTTTGGGAGAATAGCAAATTTAGATAGCAGTAAGTGCAGAATACGACGATGGCGAGTTGCTGTTGTGAACACATGAGAATTTTGAGCGCTGTTTTACGGCTATCCTAATGAAATATTACCCGTTTCTGTCCACTACCACTGGTTGTTTATATCGTTGCTTGACAGGAATGATTCTACTGTTGACCAACTAATTGAAGGCAGCAACAAAGAGCTGAAACTGGTAGTTGGTATGGAATACTAGTATCATCGGATCGCCACACTAATATTCGATCAAATTTTCGATTTAAACAAAATATTTAATCAAAAAAGCAAAAAGTTAATCATCTTTTCTGATGACTGAATTGTTGTCCTGCTGATTACCTTCAAAACAAGTCATGACATTATCTTCTTTATCGCTATCATTATTATTGTCTTAAAACTTAGTATTGAAAGGCCAAAGCATTAAAGCTTCTTTGTTCAATGCTTAGTGACGTCCGCTCTATAGTAGAAAAAACAAGTCTAATGTGAACAGTAATCAGTATAATTAATGTTTTGTCAGCATTTACCTAGGCTTATTAAAGTATTTTTAACGCTTCTTTAACGAAGCATTTCAAATAAGAATGAAGAAGTTGAATTCGAACAACTGATATGTATCAATGCCAAATCCTTTTTCTTTCTTATGAACATAAATAATATGATAGTACAATAATATCAAAGCCTAATAATGACAATTTCTGAGGCATCAACTCTACGCTTTGTGCTAATTACCAGCGATGCACAGTCAATTTATAATTTCGAAGTCTAATTTACACAAGCCTATTTCATGCATCGGTTATTTGCAGTATTCGAAAAAAGAAGAGATGAGATACTGCTGCAGTTGAAGTGCCACAATTTTCTGATTAACGAATTTTGATTATTTTGCTTTCCTGATGACTTACCACGAATTGTTTAATAGTCGTCGCATGGGTATGCTAATGAAAATACATGGTAATTGGGTAGTTAGGAAGCACTGCAGCACTGAATTCCATGTAGGAAATGCGTTTTGTAACCGTCTAAAGTGCTTCTTTGATGAGAAAATTCACATTATTTAGGAATTTTTAATGATATTCCGGTAGTAAAATTGGATAAGAGTAAGAAGTGAACTCCTGGTTGTTGCATGAAGAAATATTTGAGGGAAGGAGAATGTAAATATTCAATCTGATCAACTGGATTGTTTGATTAGCCATGGTCGAAGTTTGTGGTCGGTTTCAAGATCGGAAACTAAAGGCAAAGAAGACAATAACAATGAGACGTAAATTGGTCATTCGATCATTCGGTATCATATGAAAAAGAAGGAAGTTCAAAAAAAAAAAACCATTAAAGAGACATGAACGCTAGACACTGTCATCAACGATCGATCCATGCTGTCTCTTTATTTATGGGTCATCAGTAAATCCATGATGAATTTAATGCGGTGGGAGTGTCCTTGTTTCCTTGCTCTATTCATTCCCATCATGCTTCCTCCTCTCTTTACTCCTGCTACTAATGCTGCTTTTCGTTTTGCACACTCTCTCGATTTGCTACTGGATGAATTGTAAAGCATGTTTTTGACCATGTGATATTTCCCCTTCCCTTCTCTTCCTTTTTTTTTCAGTGTTTATATATCATATGCCGATCTTTATAGGAGTATTTGTCAACACCGGTCACTACCGGAAAGTGATCAATGAATAGGTTAAACTATTGGTCATTACAGTTATGCAATTGGAGGGAAAATCACTGGCGGAATGAATTTTGAAACTAATCGAACTTTCGGTTTGGTGGAGAGTGCTTGACTAGGATATGCCGCATTCCTTACATCCAAGTAATGTTTGCATTTATGTCGCCTGAAGACAGAATTCAATACTCAAGAAAACAGCATTTCGTTTCTCATGTCGCACAGCTTTCGCTTTATTCTCATTCTCTTTGTGGCAGGCACTCTTTTAGGTGGCTTATTGAAGCATATTTAGCATACACTGTATTACCTGCATATTTTATTCGACACTCAACAAAGTAATAAATGTTTTCAGTTGCATGCTTGATTTGGAAAGCTTTTTCACTGACTAGTTTTTTCAAATAAGAATAAATCGATAAATGAATGAACTGATTGATGAATATAACGAATAAACAGCACTTATTTGAAAAATTCAGCAAAATTGGAAGGGGAATATGTTGAGTGATGTAGCAGATCATATAATTTGTCTAAAAGAGAATAGCTTATGGAACAACGCGGGACTAAGTGAATTTTTGCTTGAAATTGAAGGATACGCCAAAACTCTGAATGACTCATCCCAACACTTTTCTTGCAAATGGTTGTTTTGTTATTAAGAAAAAATGTTTCTAACTTTGCAAATTGAAGCGGACTGGGAATCCTTCCGAATTCCTTCCCCGTTGATCCGTATCTTGCATCTCCCAAAATAACAATTACTAATATCAGCCAATTTGATAAGAACATTGTTGTGTCATTTTCGTGCATAGACTACTATCGATAAGTGATCATTCGTAATCTTTCATTAACAAAAAAAAAAACAAAGAGTCAGTTTCTTCCCATCTTTCATCACTACGATATGCATATTACTAAGATTTCCCTTAGAAAAGCAAATTCTTGAAAACAGAAGGCAAGGTAAGGCAACCTGATGTTGTTTGATTTATTGTGGAATGTAAGATGTAAAAAGGATTGGAAGAGGGCGAGTAATCCATTATATGGATAGTAATAATTAAAGTTAGGTTATCATCAATAATTACGCCTTAATGATTAGTTCATTAATGTTTGTTCTACTAGTGATATTTCAGTTTACAATAAAAGTCGTTCTGCTGCATTTTTTTTTACTGAGATTTACTTTCTTATTCACGGCAAATACACCACAGATGTGCAACAGATCATGCAGAACCACTGTTGACTTCAATAGTCATGTAACACAGGAGATTAGGTTGCCTTTCAAATTAAACAAATCTGATTATTAACCATATAATGAATTTTCCTTTCACGCTTTACTTTTTGTTCCACAAATCGGACGTGATCCGGTTTCCGTTCCATCACAATATTCATTGCATTACTGACCTCGTACTGTACTAAAGCCGCTTGTTAACCAGTCAGTACAAAGGCTTTTTTGGTGCATTGCAAGTCGGTACTGTGATGAATCCGGTAAGCAACCTTTATTAGGAATCTGGTATAACTTGCCAACATTTATTTTCCTCGATGTTTAACGCTGAACTCTAATATAAATAATGGAAACAACGATAACGATTAGTACACCGTGTAATACTCTGAATCCCTTCTGCTTTATGCAGGACGCAGAAGAATAAAACAGTGAGTGATAGATTAAATTGAAAATTTCTGTTTTAATCGTTTGTTCTGGTGACATTATTATTCTGCTTATTCAAATCCATAGGTCATAGAAGTTACTTTCAAGGCTAGGCTTCATGATAGAGTATGGGAAAAGACATTACAATTCATTTTAATTCTCATAGTGATGTAGGAAGTGATAATATGAGGAACTGTTGCGAGAAGTATTTTAGAAGCACTGTGCAAGCTAAGAAGGCACAAATAAATCTTGCGCAGAAATCAGATGAGCTGCATCAGCAACACTTTAACCAGTGGTCGGATAACGTTAGCATCATGAGTCACTTTTTTCAAGTCGCTGTGTTGTGATGATAATTGTTATGACGTTGAACTGTTTTTTAATTATTGTGCAAACTCAAGAAATATAAACTGCAGTACTTAAATTCATTCATTTATTCAAATATCAGTACCTTTCCTACTGTTCCATGGCCATAAAAAAAGTGTCAGTTTGAATTGCTAGCTGTCAATTAACTAATCCGATTTGTGGTGCTGCTATAATTTTTCTCCATTAAACAAATTGATTTGCTGAAATTTACGAATATTTTTGAGAGAATTTGCAATAATATTACGAGACTGAGGATTTGCAATGATACTACGATAAATCATTGTTAACTTGCAGTCAAATTTTGTTTTCAGGAAGGAATGAAGAAAAGGAAAAAGCGCATGAATGCTTATTGCATATGGGTTTTGGTGGTAGCCGTGCTTGTTATCTTTTATTTATCGGTTTTTACTGAAGGTTTGTTTGGTAATTTTATGTTTTTAATAGTTTAATGCAAAACAGTATTTAATTGACAGATCGACAAGTAAATTGATTGTTTGATCAAAAGATACATTTGAAAGAATCCTTTTTGAAAGCTCTATGAAATTGATGAATATATTATAGTATCATATCATTTGCACATACATAAAAGAAACACTAATTTATTCGAGCAATTTGTGGCATTAACAAATGGGGAGAGGAATAGAAGTGACAATGAACATCGCTCGCAACACTGTCAGGTTCTATTTTATATATTATAATTATTCGAAGTTTAAAAAACGAATCAATTTTAGAGGTTAATGGCGATTTTAGGTCTTACATTTGGCATTGGTGGTGTGTGGAGCCGTTCAGTTGAGCTATCCTTTATCGACGCTTATCAAAAGTATCCTCCGTTATCGTCAGCAGGCCATCGTTTTGCATTTACTTGTGGATGACATTACCATGAGCATTATATCGTTACTGTTTAGCACATGGCGATTACCAGCCGGTAATTTATTAGCTTTCATAAATTTGTTTCATTCCAGTGTTTGCTGCGAAGCTATAAATCATCATTTCCATCGAGTCCTTATAAATTTAGACTAGGCAAATGTCTTTAGCCACGACATATTTTACAAGTCTTCACTCCTGAACATTTCATTAAACTTCCGTGACTTCGACTGAACAATTAAGAATAGCTTCTGCAGCGGACATGTTGCAGTAAAAGTGACATTTTATAATGCCTCGCAGTATTTGGATCGCTTTTCGTGGATTCCGAATCGACATTATTCTGGCAGATATGGTCTTCTGAAGCTTATTTTAAACGACATTTTGCCTGCCGATGTCGATAAGGTACCGTTTCAACTTAACATTAAAGAACTTGGTCGTAATTTTTCTTTGTTGAAATTGAATACATTTAAAGCTGACTCCCGCAGAACTTCATGTATACAGATTCCTGCATGATAACGGAAGCGGCCTAGTAGTATCAAAACAAGATGGAATGCTTTCAAAAAATTGATTTACGATAAAAAAAAAAAACAATTTTCGCTTGCTGGCTGTCAAAGCCAGACAATATCTTTATCAACATTAATCATCAGTTGATGGATTTAACAGGAAATTTGATAGCATCATAAGTCTTCTGGTCATTATTCGATTACTCAGTCCACTGAGTGATGTGTTACACCGCGCAATCGAGCAACTCTTACATCCCTAGTGATTAAAATGGAAAAAATTCTACATTCTCCAGGTAATCGCACTTGATACGGATGTATTGATAATGGGTGACATTGCCCAGCTATGGTCGTTTTTTTCGAAGATGGCAAATTTACAAGCTATTGGCTTAGTTGAAAATTTGTCTGATTGGTACTTATTCAATAGAAGTACACCCCAAAGAACGGTTTGGCCAGCATGGGTACGTTTTATCGCCCTGGTAGCAGAAGAAAAACTTATTTATTCGTAAATAAAAAATTTTGAATTTAGCAGAAGAAAAACTTATTTATTCGTAAATAAAAAATTTTGAATATTAAACCTTTAGCTTTTAGAATATTTTCAAATTTGGTTGTCACTGTTTGAAAAAATTTTTGAAATTCACGAAAATTTTTTTAAATAAATATGAGATCACAGGGACGTGGCTTTAATAGTGGCGTGATGTTACTGGATTTAGCAAAGCTAAGGAACATGAGCTGGTCACATATTTGGGAAGAAAGTGCTTCAAAAAATGTTAAAGAATATGGTCCAGTTGAACTAGCGGATCAGGCAAGCATAACTACTGGCTAAATTACTTAATGTTGTATCAAGTAAGTGTATCCTGGTTGCCGGCATAAGTCACATACAGTGTCATTCATGTTTAATAAAACAGGTTATGCTTCATATGTCGCATATTTAGAGGTATAGTCTTACAATAATTATTAGCACATCAAGCCTTCCTCTTTTGAACTGCCTCCTTCTACTAGTAATCCATCATTTCGGATGACCAGCTTTGGGGTCGTTTTTCTGTGGACATCAACCATCAATGCTCTCTGTCTCTTTGGATTGGAACTCGAACTTACCGCAATTAATTACTGGCCTAACCTTTGACATTTCACTTCACGACATGGTTTTTCTTTTTCCATTTACTGTATTTAGGATGTAATCAACGCTGTTATAAACGATCATCGCTGGATTGTACAGAAACTTCCTTGTGAGTGGAACTTTCAGTTGGGATTCCAGTCACAACAGAACTTATGCGCTGTGGAAATTTCTCACTTGAAGGTAAACATAGTTATTTGTTATTCTTATTTGACCATAAATATAATAATGAACATTTCATTTACCAGCTGGTTCACTGGAATTCACCTTTAAAAACGCGAATAGTGAATCGTTATGCAGTACTCCTTCGTCGATATTACGACAGCGTGAGGGATATAGATGGCAGTATGTTTCGGTCTAACACAATCCATTGCCGTTATGGTTCTGTTAGTTTTCTGCTTCGATTTCTTTTCTACATAAAGTTTGGAAAAATATATATATATGCATATATATATATATATATATAACTCTACACTCCCATATACATATGTATATAACGCACTCACACCTGATATTTAAATGTAGCAATAAACTTACACTTACATATGCGTGGATTCACAATTCGTATTATATCTTTTTTGCCATTATATCTTTTTTTAAAATAAGGAAAATTTTATCAAATATTATCACGTTCACTATAAGATTGAATCAGTGCTGATTACTAAGTGTCGCCGAATTTCTCAATCTCAAACTTGGGTAATTAAACCTTTATTCCTCAAAACTCGGTAATACAGGAACGAATTCAACAATTATAATATCAATGTGAACAAAAGGGGACCAAAGACCAAATGATGCCCTTTATCGTCTTCCCAACCGACCTGTTGTAACACGTCTTGCGAAAATGATTTGGCGCTCAGGACCTCCTTTTTATTGCTGCAATTTCGCGTTATGACTTTCGGAGTTTTCCTGACATTAAGTATTTGAACTAATGAAAATTAATAATCTCTCTAGCAACGAGAACATTCAACACTTGACAAAGTATCTGAATATGATGACAACGACGATGGATGCAGCGAGATACGACATGCTCGATGGATCACATATCGAACATTATTGTACGTACGTCCCTACAATTTCACTGTAAGTCTCTATAACTATGAAAGCCTGTTTGGATTCAGTCAACAGTAGCTTGTAAATTATTCAGCATAATTTATAATATCACGCCATCATTTGGGAATATCTGAAGGAAAAGAAATGATGTGACATCGTTCCAAAATTCTCAAAGATGACATTTTTACTTTGATAAAATATTGTATATTTACGGTACATAATGTAATTGTGTTGTGCGATTGGTTTATTAGCGATTTCGTAGAGAGTAATAACAATGATCAAATATTTTCTTGCATCACTTCAACGCCCTCTATGTTAGTTAGATCGGATCCAGGCACAGCTATTCTAGGTGTGAGATGGCTTCACTACCATGTAGCTTTCTGGAATTATTGCCTTATAATTCCAATGTTGGTTCCGTTGTGATAATAGGAAAAAAAAAAACATTTGAAACGTTCAGGCTGCTCCGAAGAATGTTGTGTTGATAACGCAATTCAGCGTAGATCGTTTGATGCATTTTAATGCGCTACTGCAATATTGGACCGGACCTGTATCAGCTGCTGTTTATGTTACCGATTCTGAACTTTCATTGCTAATTCAGTTCTTTGATGATACTCTTGTTAATCGAACTAATGTTGCATTACATGCTGTTTACAAAGAAGGCGTTAGTTTTATTATACTTTTAGTTCCCAGATACTTTATAAATCGGCCTTATTTTCTCGAGTAATGTTTCATGTTTGTTTTTATTTAATTTACAGACATATTACCCTATCAACTATCTTCGAAATGTTGCATTAAATAACAGCAACGATGCGTCATTTGTTTTTTTGGCTGACGTTGATTTCACACCAGCTCCAGGTGATTTTTTTCCGAGATAATTAATGTAAAACTGTTTAGTTTTGAATTCTGTAACCATACATTGTGTGTTTCTTATTTAAAGTCCCAAAATATAGATGTCCACAGGCATCTTCTGCTTCTCACTCGCTTCAATGGATGATAATCTGTCGAAGGTTTAGTGGGGAATTCCTTAGTCATAGGTTCAACAAATCCTTCCTTCATTCGCTAATTTAATTTTCATGCTTGCCAGTCTGGTCACTATATGCACTATGTCTTATTGCATCAGAAACGTTTTTAGTGATCCTTTTTTGAAATCTTTTCAGAACTTTTGGAAATCTACCTTCCTGTACTATATTTCAGGACTGTATACGATGTTATATAAAAAGTTGGTTAAGACCGACTCAACAAACAAAAGAGCATTTGTTGTGCCAGCCTTTGAATATACGGGTAATCGAGTTCCAGCTGTTCCACTTACCAAGAATGAATTATTAAGAGAACTAGATGCTCGACGCATGCAGATTTTTCGGCGAAGTGTATGGATTCAGGGTCATGCTGCTACCGATTATGATCGTTGGAGACATGCTGACCAAGAGTACTCGGTATCTTAGTGGAAATTGAATCATTTGAAGTTCTGTTCAGCTTCGAAGTTTGTTAATGCTTCTTCGGCTTTACTTCAACAAAGTTTGCAAATATTTATAGGTTTCATGGAAGGCTGATTATGAACCATATGTTGTGGTGAGGCGTAGCGGATTACCGCCTTACGATCAACGGTTTGTTGGTTTTGGCTGGAACAAAGTGTCCCATGTGATGTTACTCAATGCTGCCGGGTGTGTTTATTTTCTATCTGTCTCATTTTAACTTGCCCTTAGCAGGCTTTCTGAAATGTTTTTCAACATTCACAAATTCCATTTCTTATTCAAGTATTATTTATTACTTGATTCAGTTACGAATTTACTGTATTACCGGATGCGTTCGTTGTCCATCAGCCACATCATCCCTCATTCGAAATGGTACGCTACCGTTCGCTGGCGACATATCGTAAATGCTTAAAGGCTTTAAAGGGTGAATTTGTGCGCGATTTAATTCGTGAGCAAAGAAAGAATTGGATATCCAATTTTTCTGGAGATCCATTGAACGATTATTCTGTTCTTACGATCGCTTGACATCAGTGAGTAGTATTTTAGATCTCTGTTTTGCTGTCTACTGTTTCGCCATCACTCCATAAGAATGCTCATTTTCGATGTTCTTCATATCAATCACATCACCATCTTGTCATATTTCATCTCTTAGTTTTCCATTTCCTTCACATGATTTCTCATTATTCGGACCATTGTATTTAATTTTATTTCTGAATGATTGGATATTTTTTATCACTTTTCTTTCTTTGCCAGTTATCTCTGACTCAGAAATCCCACAACTTCTACGCGTTTCTGTTAGTTCATCAAATATTTCCAACAGAAAAAAAGTACAAAACGACAAGACTGTGGTGCTGGACCCACCAACAACTTAGTTCGTTTTTAAAATTGATTTAGTTTATCCCAACCTTTCTATTAGATAGGAATGATCCATCTATGTATTATGTAGAAACTGATTTTCATTATTTGAGCATCCAACTAAAGAATTTGTAAGCCGGCATCCAGTAAATGATTCGGTAATTCGAGCTTCAAAGCCTGGAAGCTCCCACAGGATCTGTTTTGATTTTAAGAATCTGTTAATCAAAATACTTGTAAGCCATGTACTGATAAAAAGGTCAGCTATACCAATAACTTTCATAATAGTTTACGGCGTGATATGAATCTGTTGTTTAGTGATGAGCTGTCTGATAAATATTCCCAATAGAACTACTTACTGTAGCATTTATAACCCCCAACACATAGAATCTATTTTTACCGCTCTATTCTCCGCTAATGAACCCGTAAAATGGTGAATAAAACGGAAAACTTCGCGAGGAACGGATATTTTGCATCTTTTAACAGGGAACACAGAGTGTGTATGTGTGTGACTGTTGGCAGGCAATTCATTTATTTTAATACAACGACACTGGGAGCATCTCATTTGGGAACTTTGTTAGAGAAGTGTTCTTATTGCAAAGCTTTGATGGTAGAAAACGGGAAGACGACAACGTACAGAAAAACTCCCTAAGAGGAAAGTCGCCGATGCAGCATATAAGCACTAAAAGCCATATGTCGTTGGATGAGGCATTGTGTAAAACACCACACGTCAAAGATCATCAATGTAGGTCTTCCAAGTGCAGAGAAATTGCATTTTAAAGCTATAGTTTGATTTGCATTTACATTATGTACCTAACTCTATAATGAAAGACAGAGGTTGAGGGTTAAACATAGATACACATAAATATTAGGAGGAAATTGGGGGAGTTGAAAGACACTGTCATCTTGAGCAGCAGAGCCAAGTTGATGTCAATTACCCTCAACGAAGGCAAAGTTGCTCATGACAAACGTGCCACTGGACAAAGCCATAAGTCTGTCGGATCACACCACCCCACATCTTCGAATGACCTCTGTCAATCCTGAACTTATGACCCTTAATCGTCATCAACTCACCTCTCACCTATTTGCCATTCAGCGCCGCCCATTCATTCATCCGCAAATGAGAACCACAACACCACAGAATCATTGTTTCCGTTCCCATGTGTATGTGTATGTTGTGCGCGTACAGACATGAGCTGCCCAGCTATTTAAATAGCGTTGACCTTTTGACCCATAAGATTGTCCATAGGACAAGCTTTCCCAATTTCAAAATGTCCTGACAAAAAAATCGGCTATTTCCTTCCCATCGCAGTTTAGAAGTTCATAGATTCTTTGATGACAGGACGATCCAAACATTCCTTCGATTTATCCTGCCTTCCAATGCTAACTCCAACTTTCAAATGAACGGCAACACACAACGACTCCAATAAAGCGAACTAAACTTAAAGAATATGAAGGGAATAGAAGGAAGCTATACCCATCTATCCACATTTCTCTTCCTTTCTCTGTGGCTGGTGAAAAAGATGGTCATTAAACTTAAAGGAATATTGGTAATCTGAATAATTACTAAATCATGGACCTAATATTGCATGTAACACTCTTCACATCAACGAAGCAAATCAATAAGCAGTCAGCAATTTCGCAGTGGAACTGACAGATGGCATTGAACTCTGCTAAACAGTCATTCCAGTCATCCAGCTCGAAGGGACCTGACCTTGACTTTGCTCTCGACAATCAATAAGAACACAATTTCGGATTAAATATGTCGCTCAAATCGACGATAGCGCTGAAAGAACCATTTGATTGGGTCAGATCACACGCAGTGTCCTGTAGGAAATGAATACTATGAAAGCATTGATCTGCTTACTAAATGGCAAAGGGTGCAGACGGATAACCAAAGAAGAGGATCAATGTTAGCCATATGCCTCACCTCACTGAAGATGACCGTTTCTCGGACATAATTCATCCCCTCGTCCTCTTTCATAATCTTTGCTTTTCGCTGTATGAATAATTTTATTGGTTACTCTTTATGGTGCTTATAGTTTATCCAATTTAGCAGAACTGCCAAGTTGCAAAGTTCGAAGAAAGCAAAAAATGTCCTTACATGGAATCAATGAGACATTTTTTACACATAGACACTAGGCTGAGAAAACTCACAAAGTCGAATGAATCAGAATCAGTCCAAATATTATTTCAGTCTATGACGACACATCATCCAAAAAAGCAGGAATAAGCAGAAAGGATGGGAAGGCGTTAGAGCACATTCCTTTGCAGCCTGGAAATACAAGCCACAATAGCGAAAAAGAGCACAAGTATAACAAATTCTTGGCTTGGACCAAGATGGACAGGGAGATAAATGAACGATATGCAATGATTTTTGGAGCTCCAATACTTCCTATAGAATGTAACTCTTCCCTTCCTGGACACTCGGAAACCAAATCTGTTCAATACACAATTAAGACAGATACTCATGAATTTTGTAATCACCTTGGCACAGACCAACGAGATAAAATCACGGTAGAAAGTCTGTGGCATGTACCTAAGCATATATGAGGAGCTAATCAACAAAAAGTGAATTAAAAAAAGTGTACGCCAAACAGATGTGAATTATTTATAATTTGGGCAGTCCCCTTTGTTGTTACAGCATATCCAGGATAAAAAGAGGAAAATGATCTCGAAACACGTGAGATGAAATGTGCGGGTGGAGAGAATGTTGCTGACCTTATCATCACAATAATATGCAACCAGTCCACGAATACGGAATATAAAAATATTTGGGAGAGAAATATGGTTACTTCGCAATGCGACAAGAAAGCTGGATGGCCTATTCATTCACTGAATGTTAAGCGCACATGAAGGTACGAGGTTCAGTGTTCAGTGTGACTTCAATGAGATAATTTCAATTCACTTTTTAAGTTATACGACACGGTGAGTTTTTAGAACGTATTTTTGTCGGTGACACAGAAATGACTCGTAGGTGAGTCTTTTAAAAACTTCACTACTCAATGTCGAGTACCAGTCCATAATCCCAAAAATTTGTTGAACTGCCAGCTTTACACAGCCCGTTCATTTATTCATTATTTCTTGAACAGATGGTTGCTATTTCTCCTCTTGCCTACCCTACGACCGGTGGCAAATTCAACGATGTTAAGCTAAGGTTCAAAGAGCAACTGAATTAAAAACTTATGAAGAAAATTAAGGGTGCAAATGTAAAGGACAGTGAAACAGGAAGCAGATCGCATAGCGAGCAGATGTACCAAAAAGCTTGGTCATATACAATAGGAAAAACATTTGCAATAATCCTGATCTTGCGTATTACAGTATCCGTCCGTAGATAATAACTAAAATCAGTATATTCACTACGCCGACAAGTCCAGCTCTTCTTTTCTTTTCAAAACAGCACTCACATTCATCCCAATATTGATAACATTCACCTACTTCTACAGCAAACAACATGAACTAAGCCTACAGAAACCGAACGCACTGATAATAGTTAATATTTATTTGTAAGTGCAGCAAACATATAGGAACATTATGATATGAAGCTTCTAACTCCTATGAAGAAGAAGCATTAAGCGACCACCTTTGTTAGCAATTTTAAAGAGTTATGGCAGATTAGACAGACCATAAATTTTAACAGTGCAACTAGACCGATGGAAAATGCGACACAAAAACTAGTTCCCACAAGGAGTACAGGGTAGTAAATAAATGCGACTGCCCCCACTCAGTACTCATTCTTTTCACGAGTATTCACAATTACTACTCTGACAAAAGACAGAAGAAGTCACGCAGAGCAACATTTGCTCTGTTTTTCCTGTCACTTCCCTTTCAGTTCACTTCTTGAGATTTATAAAAATCCAGGTAAAACGAGAGAAGCAGCAGTTGCTATTAAAGTGCTAAACTAAACCATACAAAACACAAACAATAACAACACAATGCAAACTCAAATTCAGCAATAGCGAGCCATACATGGCAATGTGAGACCCGGATACAGTAATTGTAGAACTGTTAGGAGGAAAGCAGGTACTGATTCACTGGATGGATACATTTGAGAACAAAGGGAACAAAGCGGTTGTTGAGAGTAAAGAGTAAGGAGGAAGTGAAAGAAGAGCATGAAATCCTTGTGGCTGAAGTTACATCCTCAACAATGATGCACAAGAGGTACAACGTGACCTCACGTGTAATTGGAGATCTCATGAGCTATAGTATTAACCTGTTACTTTCTCCTCCCTCACTTCCTTACCTCCTAATTCGTTCCTTTTCGATCAGAGTCTTGGAAATAAGCATTCAAAATCTATAAGGACGCGCATACGGTGTGGGCAACGAAGCAGTGCTATTTTATGCATGTGTATGTCCTATGTACATGCATGACACTGCATGCCTGCTCGTCATAATTTGCAATTAATCACACGAATCGAAATGTTATCCACCAATTGCCGTTTGCTGACGAGGGTCGATAGCTTGCAGGAGAGGGTGTATCACATCCAGGATTAGGCTGCTATTGCTCTTGCTGTTGGTGCTGCTGCTGTTGTTGCATATCAAAAGGCATTCATCGAATTCAGTGGCATTTTGAGTAGACAGAGAAAAAAATTGGCTAGACATTACCCCAAGCAGTATGGCCATTAGATGACCATATGGGGGAATAGGGAGGGGGGAATTGACGGAATTCAAAAATGAATCTAATGATAGGAGTGATCATGGCTGCGGCTTAACATGCTGCTGTTTTCACCACAGTAATTTTTCAGTAACTATTACCAAGGGGGGGAGAGGAGGGAGGGAGGAGGTTCACATAATCACAACATGTGTTGTAACCGTTGTTGTTGAATTTATTAATTGTGGTGAAAGTTGCAGCATGTTTAGTTATATCCATAACCACCCGTATCTTTCAATTCATTTTTGAATTAGCCTCGTTAGAAGTTGACGCATATTATGCGTCCAACAGTTTATGATGTGAAAATGATACGTCCGATCAAGCTTGAAATCTTCTTGTTAAGATATGGGGAATAATAGTGGTAGTATTGTAACCAGCATTTCTCTGTTAATTTTGTTATTGCTTAATGTTACTGTCTAATGAGCTGTTAATAGAAGTAGCGTTCTGGCGTTCGTGTAAATGCTCGAAACCCTGGAATTTTCGATAGCGACTGAGCCAGTCTTTCTTCTTTATTCATGAATCAATATTCAAGGTTGAAGGAATAAATCGAGAACATTCAGTCTGATTATATAGGGCGTGAATGGGTAACCCTGGTACTGCTATTTGGACAATGTAATAACCATTGTGTTGTAACCAATGCACACCAACACATCAACAACCACTTGACTTCTTTTACTCGATGGGAGGCTGTATAGAATTGTTAATAATAAAGTGAGAGTGGTGTGTAGCCTCAGCAACATACTAATTCGGTGACCTAGATGTATACTTAATCACAGCAACAGTTCATTATTGTCATCTGTTACTCGGAAGAGGTCATTATTGAATTATTTTTTTAGGCAAACTTTCTCTGCTCCATTTTGAATTTCACCCCTGTTCATTTACTTGAGGCAGAATTTGAGTAGATTTAAGTAGTTTAATCATAAATGATGTACAACTATTTTAATTTAAAATTTGGGAGAGAAAGGGAAGGTTAATTTGAACGGAGGCAAAGACTAATTAAAAAAGGATTAGCGGTGGTTTAGTTTTTTCTCTTCCCTCTTCGTTTTCATTCAAATTTTCAACTATGGAAAAGAATTTTATGCACATCAAATTATAAATGTGATGAATCCATATCCGAAACCTTATTCATTTATACGTAGCAAGTTAGAAAGATGTTCTCCAGGGTTGTTAAGAGATAGCTATAGAGTGACAATCCAGAATGTAGCTTTATTATAAGGCATAAGCTTAGGAAATTTGGATACCATTTACACATTGCGCAGTATCCAGCTGAGCGATACTGCGCAATGTGTAACGAACAGTTACTGCTCCAATGACAATATATTGCGACGATAATATTGTTTCTACCGCTGTTAGTTTCCCATTCATGCATTATTTATGATGCAAAATCCAAACCACCAAGTAAATTGCTCAGCAAAGAAATATTTTACGAATATTTTGGAAGCACATCATCTATTTAATGTTTTAAATGAAGCTAAGAGATGAACGAAGGATGAAATTTTGAAAAAAAAAGACAATGTCATTAAAGCACTTTTGTAATTTTACTTTGGTAAAAAGATCTAGTAGTTACTAAGGAGTAACTCCTATGGTTGATAATTTACTTGTAAAAGTTGTTTCTGGACATCAGCATCGCAAAGACAGCGAAAACTATTTTGAGCAATCAAACTTAACCAGTTGAAAAAAACAATTTCGGCCAGAATTGGTCTAAAGCTCAAAATAAGATTCAGATCATTTTATTGTCAAACTCTTTTTGACAGTTGGAAAGAATTGTGACGATGACATTCTGACAGCAGCACTAGGCAAGCTGTCAAATACTGATTTCAACAAATCATTTCTTAAGCATACTATTTTGTATGGCTCAAACATTATGCACCTGCTTGTCTTCATGTCAGGGTTACCTGACCTTACTTATTCCTTCAGTTTTTCTAATCAACGAGTCATATTTCATTCCGATAACTTTATTCTCGCAGAAACGCAACCCAAACTGTTTTCTACTATGCAGAGAGCGGATTCAGTTACAAAAATTATCAGCATAACAATTCGAATCCATCTTCAATTATTGTTAAATGTTTGCAGAGAACTGATGAAATGCTGATTATGCGCATTACGACCGCTAATGATTTATTGAATTACGTACAGTTGTTGTTGATAATGATTCTGGGAATGATGGAGGCAATACAACTGGTGAATGGATCAGAAGCGGTGAATTAAGATTATAACGTGATGATTTCCGACTAGTTGGTTGGTTGGAATACACGATTGCGCATATGGGTGCTTTCTGAAGTGTTTCAGGTGGCGGCGAATCTAACGCCATTATTACTTGGATACGCCTCACTGCAACATGCGTATTAATTAATTACCTCCTGTTAATACATATTTCAGTCATAATTTTCTTAGCCTGAAAATTAAAGTTATCATAATGTTTGTAAGCTATTGTGTAAAAGAACAAAATAATATAAGTTTTCTTTGTTTCATATAAGTTTTTTGTACGGTTGACCTTTCCCTTGCTACACTGTTTATAATTAACTAATTATTAGCCATTCATAATTTTTTGTGAAAGATACCGCGGAAAACTAACATTGCGCTTCAAGACCTGGTACGATTTTCATTTTGTCAAGTGCAGTTGGAAAGCGTCGGAAATAAAGAAATGCATGACAACAGGCACACATTTGTAGTGGTAGAAAAGATAACGAAGTAAAGAAGAATGAATACCCTGAAAATGATAGGATAAGCGATTAGAGCTTTTTTATTACTTGTTTAAATATAAGTACACACCTGTTAAAAATGTGTGCATAGATGTGCACACACTAATACACCGTACGTACCTTTTTACCTTCTTAACCTACGATAGATACTCAAATAAAACATGAGCAGTAAGTAAAAAAGAGACAAACAAGTTACCGTATACAAAACTAAATTTAGATGGTTCGCCAGCTGCATTCGGTTTCATTCGTGGCGCTAACTCATCGTCAACAACGCAAACGAACTGTAGGACACCAACCAGGACGACAAGGCCTGAAAATGTTTTAGTTTCAGTTTAAAATTTATGGCGTGCATTGAAACTGATTCATTTTGTTGGGAGATGACGAAATTTACCTCCGAAAATGTACATTATTGCGGCAAGAAGTGTTTTTGAGCTGCGTTTTATATGACCAATGAGACCGAAATAAAATGCCATGTAACAGATGGTGACACCAATAATATGCATTGAGGTAGGCAATGCGAGACGCCCTGAAAGTATTCTATGCAGATATTTCGTAAAAAAATGACAGTTGTGGACGATATAAATGTAGTTAGAATCATGCATGCAGTATATGAGCCAAAATTAGCTAATTAACGATGGGTTAAAGTGTACCTTCAATAGCGAGTGTTGCAGAACTAAATTCCGTTAGATCTTTTCCAGTAAGGATTGGGTTCCAATAACACTGATATGCCGCTTCTTCAGCTGAAAATGAGCAAACAAGAAACAGCAAGTAATGAAGGCGTTACATCATTTGAAAAATTCTCTTAAAAGTGAAGATATCGGGCCGATCCCAAGTTATGATTACTCTCAAGTTATCATCTGTAAGGAAGCATGAGAGTTTTGGGATCTCTTGCAAAGTTGAAAGCTACGCGAAATTCAAAATGAATTGTTTGAAAATGGGTGTAATTCTCAAGTGACAAACACTTTTTCTTGCTGTCAGACAATATACATCAAATACCGTGAAAGCCACAGCACTAAAAGTGATACAGCCAAACAATTTATATGTTCAAATAAATTCTTGATAGGGGCACGATAGATTTATAACGGTACTAAGTTGCGAATGCTGTAGAAAAGCAATTTCGAATGACTTTTTTCAGTCTTGAATGGAAGGAAGTAAATTCGATTCTACTTGATAAGTATGATCGAACATCTTCAGCAGCCGTGCTCTCTTCTCCTTTGTGCTCACGACACATTACAAAATAACCTGCATTGTAGAGAAAAATAGTATCCTGAAAAAAGTGACAGCATAGTGATTTTTTTGAAATTATATTTTGAAAAAAAGATGAGGAGTTATGGTAAGATAAAAGATTTTGGTTAAAATGAAGGTTGAAAAAGGACGTAAATAAAAATAAAGTTAAGTTTCAAACAATGCGATGTTAGACATGAGTTCAAAACTTCATAAGAATGATATATGCACCATCAAATCTCCATTTTCATTTGTTTTATTGTATGGTCGCGGTTCAGTAACGTATACCCATCCATTTGTTGCCAGTGGTATTGATTGTAAAGCGCTAACAAAAAGTCCAAGAAATGAACCAAAAGTCCACAACAGCGGATCCGTACATCTTGCTGCGATCACAACCTGAACAGAATCTCATCTGCATATCTTATCTCGAGTAAAAGAAGGACAATAAAAAGGCCTAGATTATTAAAATAATAAAAAGATTCAGATAGGCCATACTACGATGGGACTTATACTACTTGCATGTCGAGAAAATAATCCACTTCCATTGGGCAATAAATTCTGCGCAAAAAGTATGTACTGTAGATACCAGCAAATGATGTTCGAAAAAACTAAATATGATGCAATAAAGAAATTTAATATTAATATGATAGAAAAGTTGACAGAAAGCAAGGTTGCCTGTGAAAGACGTTTTGAAAGTCTTTGTTGTCCATGAGCAATTGGCCGTTGTGAGAAGCCAACATCATCAAGAAATGCACTTCTTCGAACATGTTTCATATGCCTAAATATTGAAATTACTTTAAAATGTCTTGCATAGATGCACTCAAAAAATGTTCGTCCCGCAGCTTCTACCATTGTACTTTTAATGCGTTCTAGTTTTGCAATTTTCGTTTACTTTTATGTCATGATAAAGGGAAAGAGCAATAATTAAACATTCATGGATTACATAAGGTAGTCAATCTAACTCTTCCATTATTAAATATCTCGAACGCGACCGATGCGAATATTAAATGTCTGAAGATTCAACATAATCATTTATGGTATCATCTCAAAAATGGTGAGTGCATTCTGACCTGAAAATTTATCTTCGAAGTATCATATCAAGCAAAAGCTAACTCACAAACATAGAAATGATCTAAATGAAAATTTCCAGGAAAGACACATTAGATCAAGTGAAGAAGCCATTAAAGTATTGGAAAAAAAGTCATTCATTTGCATACAATTTCAATCAGCATGACGGAATTAAGGGAAAGAGAAGAAAGAAAAAAAAGGAGACAAGAATTTCGGTTTAATGACTTGAAACTTAGCGGGTATAAGTTAGGAAACGGATTTGATGAAATTTCCAAAGGCGCATACCCTGTTAAATATGAACATGCAGAAAAAAATAAAAGTATTTGTTGCTTCATTGGTCCAAATAAAACCTTCTTACTCTCCAATACTTCAGGGAGCGTTCAGTATAAATAAGGGAAATATGTAACGGAAGATAAAGTAGAAAATGAAATTGCAGTAGGAGGGGAATCTGCTCATTAATTGAATCACCAGCCAGTTCCACGCTTCGTTTATCTAATGCCTCGAAAAAAGCTTCCATAAGTTTTATTCACAATTTATCACTGCACTAATTTAATAACAACTTTAATTATAGCACTCAATAATCAATCATAACAATACGAAAGTTAGTGTGATAAAGAAGAGGAAATTTCTCCGTGTACAGACCACGTAATGGATAAATGAACGAAAGTGTGAGAGATAGGTGAGTACGCGATTTTATTTTTTTTTGATTCATAGAATATTTTTTACAGCATATATCAATAATAAAAATAATACAGAGTCATTATCGACATTTAGTATGCACCATATGTCGGCAGTAATCCTGATTTGTATTGCAAGTAACTTTAGTATGTAAAAAGTTTGCAGATTTAAGGCTGAACAAATATTTCACTTCTGAGAACAACATATCCTAAAAGAACTTCTAAATTTGGAAGAAGATTTGGGTAAAAGATTGAAGGGTTGCTGTTAAGTATGGATGTAATTTTCATGAACAGCAATAACATCATCAGCAGAAAAAGATATTGGTGCTCTAAAGTAATCGCTTGAAAAAGCTTATAAACTGAAGGGCACAATATCCAAAGATATGACATACAACGTATACGGAACTGCTAACATTCATTTCAATAAAAGGTTGTTATTCCATTTAGAGATGGATATGGACGTGAGTGTATGTTTGTATAAGTCTTTGCATGCCTCTGCTGTCATTGGTCTCATTGGCACACATTATTATTGACAAGTCGATTTTCCTGGAAGGCAATTCTACTAAGTAAGGACCGTAGAGGAAGCACTTGAGAGACTGCACATCCATCTTTCAGAAAGTACCGTTGTACCTTATCCAAGTTCGACAGTGTACAGATTTTAAATTTCTTTCAGTTCATAGCGATGTCAGATATATACTGCCAATCAAACATTATGGGTTTACCATTAAAAAGAAGTAACCATGAAGGATACTGAAACGAAAACTTGGAAAGAGTCATAGTTACAAAAGTCTCGGTGATTTTCAAAGTGACACTCACGACTTCACCAGAACTTTCTAGCTCCATATCTCATCCGTTCTCTCAGCATTATTCTTTGTTATATGTGGATAGTCACTTTGCATATTATTAAAGTGCAGAAGCTATTTTCGTATTACAGCTAAAAAAAAAGGATGTTTTTTCAAACCTTGTTTAGTAACATTTTGCTATGAGTCAGGTCTACATTTTTCCAGAAAAAAAAAAGCAAGCAAAATAAACAAAGATAGGTGGCGCAATTTCCTAAGTATTGCACGATCAATTACTTTTAAAATATTAGACTTCTTTGTTTCCATATTCCATGGAAAAAAGAATTTTATACAAATCACTGCTCTTCTTTTTTTTTAACTTTTTCTTTACAATAAATGCGCGATATTTCAGCGCAAAAATGTTGCTATCTTTTCGAAAATGTTGTTTCCGGTTGATGATACACTGTGATATTTTGCTTTCTTCGGCAAAATGTCTTCCTTTTTTGTAAGCAAAAAATTGCTTACAAAAAGCCCTTTCCTCCAGACAACCATTATTTCTTCAAAGTTGAGGCATGGAAAAAATGAATTTGCTAGTGCTAATGTTACTGTTTGCCAATTCGACTGCTTGGGCACGTAAGTTCTACTTGGCTAATTACTCTAATCAATAACATATCCATTTTAACATTATAAAATGCATTCAGAGAATCTACAAATACCAAAAAAAGTCAAATTTCATCTTTTCCCTTGGTCATTGAAAGTCTTTTAAAATCTTAAAACAATTCCGACATGCATTTAATGTTTCGAGCAACTCGTTGTTCTGGGACTTTGTTGTATTTTTGCTATAATTATTGTCGTTTATGATTATTTTAGCTGTATTAATAAGCAATTACAGTACAGATTTAATGATCTTTTTTTTAACATAAGTATAATTCTGTGCTACTCTTTCCAACAGTTTGTATTCAGATATATAATAAAATGAGATAGAAATTTTCCAAAGATAATGATATAATTATCAGAATATTGATATTGTAATAAAGTTTCTCATGCTGGAGAAATCGGTGCAAAAGGAAGGCATCATCTTAATAATCATTAGCAATAAAGTGTCACAACAAAATTTCAATACCCAAAAGTTGGATGATTAAGTTGACGTAGTCACAACAAAGGAAGCAGAACAACACAAAATGTTGTGAGGCAACTGTAAGCGATGATACGTGAAAGAAAGTGTACTGCAGCAGCAAGATGATGCGTTGTTCTACCATCATTCTAAGCCGGAACCTGAACAATACGTAGAAATTTTCTAGATTTCCTACTGGCTTCGTCATCGTCGTGTTGGCAGGTAAAGATGTATCTCACCCTCACTAATTGATTCTCACGATTGGAATTGTATATTACGAGAATTCTGAATTGACGGCACTTGCCGAATGCGATTCTGCTGGATGATAGTTATCGAATCACAAGCTTTTCATTATTGAAGATTCCAGTGACCATATTCCAATCAAAAAACTATCCCAAGAAGACATATTTTATTGCCCTTTTTATCAAGCAACGCTTGTCTTTTAATCAAGCTACAAGCTGAGGTTACCTAATCAAACAGTTAGTCAACAGAAGTAATCAAGATCAAATTCATAAACACTGTTCTTAATTAATGGAAAAAAAATGTCATCCTAATTCAATTATAAGATAGTGTATAAAGAGGTATGGATTTTATAAACTGTAATTCCTGGAAATATTCAAAGCTAGGACGCTTTAAAAATAATATTAAACGAATAAAATTTCAGTATCTTACTGCTGTCCCTTGAACAGTTGCTAAAAATTTTTCAATTTTTTAAAATTCACCCATTTAAAGTTTCTTCAGGTCCGAAAGTTATTGAATCAGGAAGTAAAAATCTGCAACCAAAAGTTGTGAATAGGACAGGTACTTCTCCAATCACTTTTCACAGCAGGAGTTTTCTCAGCAGAATGAAACCATAACTTTTTCTTTATACATTTATATCTCATTCACAACCACTTCCTTTCCGGTTTTAAAACCTTATTTTAGAACATTACAGCTTTTCAGCATGTAATCAACATACTTGCCAGAAAAACCGAAAATTTTTGCTAACGTTGATACAATCGCCACCCCGAGTGATAAATATCGCTGTGGAACCACCAGTAAATATTTTTATTAGGAACACTGATGGTAAGGCATATAATTATTGCCGAATACAACAACCATGCATGAAAATAAATCATAATAAGTCGTCAGCGTAATATGCTGAGAAAATTGAAAGAGCGAAAATTCACTCCCAAGTATTATAGTAATTGTGATTTATATAAAAATTATCTATTATTAAATACTATTGTGAACATTTGCAGAATGCAAGTCCAATCGAGATTGTACAGATGGGAAATTTTGCTGGCATGGGTACTGTATGTCACGTGGTAACCTTGGTGAGACTTTTGTACTGACAACACCATTCTGAAAAATTGTATGCCAATTCATGAGGTTGATTAACATTTCGAATTTTTCACAACAATATTTCTGCAAATTGGATAATATGTCAAACTTTCCAAAAATAAATTATTTAAGTTCTGACTAGAGAATGCTAAAATTACCTGCAAATATGTTTAGGAGATTCCTGTTCAACAGACGATCAATGTTCCTCAGGATTGATATGTAAAAACCGAACTGAATCAAAAGATGGCTTATGCCTTTTTGGCACTACTCTGATTTCTCATCTGGCAAAAAAAAACAAAACTGACAAATCAGAGACATACCCAGACGATTATGTGATTAAAACTGGTGCTACAGTGGAGACCAAGTTGGAAAGTATTTTAACACAAAAGGATGAAGCTGATATCACGAACAAAACAACAAGCGAGTTTACCTCGAATTTCCTAACGGAAAATATAAAAATTGGAAAAACCAAGATAACAGCTCCTCCGCTTTCTGTGAAAGAAACAAATACGTCCAGAGAAATGACGGAGGGATCCGTTTCATTATCAGCTGTAAAGAATAACACTGTGGGCAAAATGACAACGAAAGTCTCTTCATTTCCAGCAACAGAAATTACCACTGAGACGTTTCCTTCATTTCCCGCGATAGAAATTACCGCTGAGAAAATACCGACATTTCCTCTATCTTCCGTGACACAAATTACCGTTGAGGACACATTATCGACGAAAGCTCCTTCATCTCCCGCGACAGAAATCACTATGAGGATACATTATCGACGAAAGTTCCTTCATCTCCAGCGACAGAAATCACTACTGAGGATACATTATCGACGAAAGTTCCTTCATCTCCCATAACAGAAATCACTACTGAGGATACATTATCGACGAAAGTTCCTTCATCTCCC